ATATAATATTTTATTAGGTAATCACGTTTATCTTTAATTTGAAAAGGTTTAATCATATCCAAATTGTGTTATCCCTTTTGATACCCCACCATCAGTAGGTACGTACTGGAAATTAATTTTGTAGTGGGCTGGAATCAAAAAACCAATTCTATCACTTTTCTTATGAGACTCTGTCGTTCCAATCCTTTTGCTGCAAGTGCAAAGATTTCCTTACTTTTTGGCTATAACCAAATTATTTAAACACAACGTAAACTTTATCATACATCACAAATTCTAGATCAACCCAAATCTCAAGGTACGTATTTTTTTATAACTCCACTTTCAATAGGGAATCTGCCCTATTTATGCCATGCAAAAAGTCAGATTGGGGGCACATATTATGTCAAACAGAAAGAAATTCTCCATCTGCAACCAAGGAAATTAGGAAAAAGTTTTGGAACATTCAATCATATCTTCTTTCAAAGAATGCGTTTGATCTAACGAGGTATGATACTATGTGCAAGTTGATCTGTCCTTGCAATATTATAATTTTTTTTACGTGATTTATTTCATGAAATGCTAATTGACCTACGGGTCTTGATGAAATGAAATATGAGATTTTCTCCGGGTTTTCTCAATTGTTTGCATAGATATGTGTTAGAGTATTCGATTCATCTCCGACTGCTCTTGATGGAATGGTAGTATGGAATGTCATAAATTTATGTTTTAAAAATTTATTATATTATTTTGGACACACGTATCCTACTAGGTTTAAAATACTAATTCCTTCAAAAAAATTAACTTTTCAGGTTAGATCGGTTTAACGTGGATGGTGGCTGAATGGTGAACGAATTGCCAAGTAAAACTTTTTCAAAGGAACCATCAAATTTTATTTTTCTTTTCGTTTAGATATTAGTACTTCTTAGATTTCCAATGAACTCTTAAAGTTTCGAGATTTAAATGTTTTTTTTTTAATTAATTGGATATTATGAATACTTAAATTTATTCAAGTTTAAATCTTCAATTAAATATTTCTGCTTTATGTATGATTATGAAATAATATCAGTAACATCTCAAAATTTAAATCAATAAAATTTGGGGCGTTGCATGATATTTCCGATTGTAGTGATTCCAATCTAGAAAATTCTCTACTTTATCTTTTAATCAAAGTACTTTTTCTTTTATTGCAGATCTTATTTATTTTGATGCGTGGGGACCTTCTCCTATTGCTACGAAGGGAGGTGGTCTAGATATTATGTTTCTTTTGTTGATGATTAATGTCTTTATTGTTGATTTCATCTTATGAAAAGTCATTTTCATTTTTGTCCATTTAAAAATCTTTTAGATTACTCGTCAAAACTCAATATTATGCTATAATTAAGTGTTTCAGATGTGATTTACATGGGGAGTATACTTCTACCAAATTGCTTGCTTATGAGGGAACTATACATCAAACATCTTCTATTGATACCCCCACAATAAAATGGTGCTGATGAAAGGAAACATAGGCATATAGTTAAACTGCTCGTTCTCTCCTGTTGTCTACCAAAGCTCCTATCGAATTTTGGGGTGAAGCAATCTTTAATTTTGTTCATTTAATCTATAAAACCACATCAACTCATACTTCCAGTTTGTCACCCTTTGAATAGTTGTATGGGCATCCTCTTGATTATTCTTTTTTGAAAGTTTTTTGTTGTACTTGTTTTGTTCTTCGTCCTAAAGTAGAGTGTACCAAATTGACTTCATGCTCTACCATTTATGTATTTTAAATTACGGCGAGGGACAAGAAGCTTATCATTGTTTTGACCCCGTTAGTAAAAAATTGTATTTCACTTGTCAAGTGTTGTTACTTGGACATATTCCATTCTTTTCTATTCCTGATAATTCTCAGAACATGACTAAGTCTGAACTCATTTGTATTTATCCATTCTCAGATGGTATAGAGAATCCACATTCCCATGCCCCATGCATTATAAATACTCCATGCACTACAGGTACAAATGCACCATATCAAGTTGTCCTTGATGTTCCGTCTTTGTCTATGGCCTCCCAAATACCTACTACGATTGTAGATCATCCACCTCATCTTCAATATCCTCGGTGTTCTCGCTAGTCCACTAAGTTACTGGATTTTAGTTATTCTTGCTATTCAGATCCCTTTAGCTATTTTTTAATCTCTATTGACAAATTCTCTCATCCTTCTTCCTATAAAGAGGTTGTTATTGATCCTCTTTGGAAACATGTTATAGCTGAGGAACTCTGTGTACTTGGTATTTGGTTTCGTAACCACCTGGTAAATGTGCTATTTGTTCTCGTTGGGTCTACGAGATCAAAATCAAATCTGATGGCTAGTTGAGCGATATAAAGCCAGATTAGTTGTTATATGGTATGGATTATGAGAAGACCATTGCCCTTGTTACAAAAATGACTACTATTTGTACACTTATTATTGTTGCCACTGTTCGTCGATGGAGTATCTTTCAAAAGCATGTTAAAAATGCCTTCTTGAATGAGAATCTTTAAAGGACGTTTATATGCTACCTCTTCTAGGTGTTTCTCATAACCATGGGACATTTACAAACTTAAGGACACTTTATGGTCTCAAATAGGCACCTCATGCTTAGTTTGAGAAGTTTTCTACTGTTATTGACTCTCTTGGTTTTTCATCCAGCGATCTTGATCTTGCTCTATTTGTTCAGTGCACATTAGTAGGTCGCATTTTCTTTATATGTTGATGATATGGATGGGATTGTTGTCCTAAAGTCAGAATTAGCTCGTCAATTTGAAACGAATGACTAAGGCCCCCTACGTTACTTCTTGGGTATAAAGGTTACTTATTCTCCTAAGGGTTATCTTCTATCTCAGTCCAAATATATGTTGCTCATATTGTTAGTCAGTTTATTACATTTCCTACTACAGTTCATTGGGCTGCTATTGTTTGTATTTTGCGATATCTTTATGGCACTTTATTCGCTTGAAACAAAAAATGTCCAAAACAATTTTTTTTTATTCTTCACGGGGGTTCGCCCCGCCCCGCCAACCCGTTCGGGGCGAGGTGGGGAAAATTGCCAACCCTAACCCTAGAGTATATACTATTTAATCTAAAATGTAAAATCTTCTTTCGAACGATATACAAATCACTAAACTACATACATTTATTGGCCAAAAAAATGAAGAGCAACAAAGACAATAGTAA